AAACCACTCAAAATAGTTCATGCTGATACAATGGGACCGATCACCCCAGCTACTTATCCTAAAGGATATAAATTTATGATCGTCTACACGGATGACTACTCAAGATTGACTATGGCATACCAGGTGAAGACAAAATGTGAAACAGGACGTTGTTTGGACAATTTTGTGACAAGCGTTCGAAACCTGTTGGGTTTTGATGCAAAGATATGCTATCTTCGAACCGATCAAGGCACGGAGTTTACAGGAGGCCAAACGGTAGAAGTTCTCCAAAGGTTGGGAGCAGAACTTCAGTTGGCCTATCCAGACACCCTTCAGCACAATGGAGCCTCAGAACGGATTAATCGTACCTTGCAAAACATGGTGCGAGCCTACATGTACGACTCTGGGCTCAGGGAGAACATGTGGGACTTAGCACTGGGCAGTGCAGTATATGCCTACAATCGGACACCTTACCGGTCTAACGATATGATAGCCCCTTTAGAAAAGTTTGCGCCTAATCTGAAGATAGACATAACCCAAATCAGAAGATTTGGCTGCGTCGCTTTTATCAAGATACAAAGGAACACTGGAACCAAATTCGGTCCACAAGGGATACGAGTCGTGCTGGTTGGCTATACCCCCACTGGCTATTCTTTCTTAAGACCTGAAGATGGAAAATTTTATGAGAGTCGAGACGTAAAACTCCAAAAAAGACTCGTGTTCAGAGATATCTGGGGAAAGGACAAAATAGCAAACTGGAGAAACACACTGGGGAGACAGATATTAAACAAGATGAATGGTTCGTTAATGTTGATAAGACTAGCTCTAAAGAGTCATTGGAAACGGAGGGAGAATTAGTAGTCAAGAGAAAGCGCGGTCGGCCCAAGAAAGTTGGAGATCTTGGTCAAGAAAGCCCTAAGCAACCCACTAGAATAAATGATACGAGCTTCGCAGGAGCCATCGACACAAACAAGTTGAATAAACTGCTTCAATCGAAGGGTGATGTTGACTGTTTGATCGCAGGATTAGAAGATGAAATGTTACATGCCCTGATTGCTGGACTGAACAAAAATCCCGCAAACTACAAAGAAGCTGTCGCATCTCCGGATCGCGATAAATGGCTCAGAGCAATTGATGAAGAACTGGAATCAATGCGGAAAAACCAAGTGTGGAAACTTGTAGAAAGACCAACCGCGAGCGCTGAAGGTGCCAAGCCCAACATCATCGACTCTAGGTGGGTTTTGAAGAGAAAAATAGATAAAGATGGAAACACGAAGTTCAAAGCGAGGTTGGCGATTCGTGGCTTGAAAGATAGGAACAAGTACGATCTGCAAGAAACCTATGCCTCGGTGTCTGGGCTAGCCTTGGTAAGATCAGTAATATCAATAATAAATAGATACAATCTGGAGACTTGCCAACTTGATGTCAAGACAGCTTTCTTAAATGGATCTACCAAAGAAGAGATATACATGGAGATTCCTGAAGGCCTGCTTGATGGTGACAGTTTCAAGAAAGCTCAGGTTTGTAAATTGGAAAAAGCCCTTTATGGACTTAAGATCAGCCCAAAAAGATGGAATGAGCGGTTTCGCGAGACTGCATCTAAATTGGGACTACGGTCACATACGAGCGAGCCCTGTCTCTATACATGGAGAGAAGCCGATAACTTTCTAGTCCTGATCCTATACGTGGATGATATGATGATAGCCAGCAATTGTGTAGGCAAAATGAATGAAATTAAGACTGGTCTGCAATCTGAGTTTAAGATGTCAGATCTTGGCGAGGTTGGCACATTTCTAGGCATCAAAGTGGAAAGAGATAGAATACTTCATACAATTTCACTAACACAAACACCATACATAGATAAAATGTTAGAGAAATTTGGATTCAACGAGTCAAAACCCCAAAGAACACCAATAGTGACAAATCAAGTTTTGAATCGGCAAAGAAAAGATAGAGAAGAGTCTGAAGATGCTGGAGAGTTAAGCACAACGATAACGAGAGTAAATGTGCCGTTTAGAGAAGCAGTCGGTAGCCTGCTGTATTTAGCCAACACAATTAGACCAGACATTTCATACTCGGTGAATGTACTGAGTAGACATCAAATCGGCCCAACTGAAGATGATTGGAAAATGGTCAAACGAGTATTTCGATATTTACAACACACAAGAACCCTAGGATTAACTTACAGAGGCTGTAAAGATGGATTAGAAGCCTATTCAGATGCGAGTTTGGCAGACTGTAAAGGCTCAATAACAACAGGTGGATGTCTCCTAAGGCTGTATGGGGATACAGTTGCTTGGAAAACAAGAAAGCAGAATTATGTTGCTATTTCAACCTGCGAAGCAGAATATGTAGCAATGTGCGACGCAAGTCAAGAATTGATTGGACTAGAGCACTCTATAAGTATTATATTGTCTCGCACTTTATTGCCCGCGGATCTTTGGTGTGACAACAAAGCCGCCGGAGCAAGTGCTAAGATAGATGGTGGCAAAAGACTGAGACACATGACCGAGATAAAGGCTCACTACGTTAAGGAATGTGTATCCAGAGGAAAAATAATTGTTAAATGGATTCCATCCAAGGAACAACTAGCAGATATCTTTACAAAACCCCTGCCGTTTGAACTGCATGAAAGACTAACGAAAGAAATTTTGAATGTTAATTAGCGTAAAATGCATGATAATTAAATTAGAACTTAAGATAGTAAAATTAGTAAATTGATAATAGATAAATAATGATGGTAGACATGATAATTAATGTATTTTCTGTGTATGTTTTAGCTCGTCGGAATCAACCACAATGAGTGACCCAGAAGCCCACGTGCTCCACATCATTGGCTGATTAAAATTCATTCATATTCAGTGTTAATGTTCGAATATATATCTTTTCTTTTCATTTTAATAAATTCAGATACGAACGGGAGGGAGTGTTAGATGTATTGTTGGCGCTCGTAACTGAATTATTACGCATGCGCAACAGCAAGAAGACGAGACGCAGTGACGCTGCACTTCAGCGTCAAGTAACTACGGTTTTGTTCACTCTCGTGCAGTCAGCCAGTCTTCGCATTTCCTTTACAGTTCATCCTACCTTTTTCTGTTCGTTTAGCTACTGTCATTAAAATAGTAAAGTGTTAAGATAGTTAAACCTAAAGATAGTGTAAGTGAACGTGTCCAAGTTTAATTCTATATTTCGAGTGTTGTATTTTTATTCGCCAGGTCACCTGCTCAATCCCATACTGCTAACAAGTAAACAATTAAACGATATAATTATTTTTATTAAATAAAATAGTTATGCAAGTGGAAAAACTTTAATTGTCCTAAAATGTTATACTAAATTTATGTTTTTTAAAAAGTTTCATAAATAAGGACATAATGTGAAACAATAGGTACAACGTTTCTCAATTATGTACATTTTGGTCCTATAATCTTTTTATACAATAAAGTATTTAAAAAATTAAGAGCCATATTTAAAAATTAGAACAATAATGGCAAATTTATAACGCACCAGCTAATACGAAAATTTCTGCTGTTAAAATTTACAGTCAAGAAAAAAAAATCAAAGAAGCAAGTATGATGAAATTTATGGTCATAATAAGGACATTTACCTTACTCCTGCCTGTACTCTCAGACCCCAGACCCAACTCCGTGAGTGTGCGAGAGAGAAAGACTCACTACCCTAGTCTTCCATCTTTTTCTACGCGAGCCTTACTGCCCTAGTAGTTGCTAATAAGCGATGTATTCTTTATGTCTATTGGGATCGGTCTTTGAGAGCCTTTTCTCAGAACTTCGGAATCCCACCACAATGTATAAGCATAGAAAAGCTGGTGGCGCTGACAGTCACGATCCTTCTCTCCCCATTTTTGAAGCTCGCCACTTTATGGAGATTAATCTGGGACAGTGGCTCTAGTGCTATGGGGCCGATCCCAATATTCCCAATGGTTATCAATTTAAAATTAAATTCGTCAAAAAAGCAAAGAGTGCCGTGTGCAGTATTTGGCAGATACAGGTTATGTTAAACGTTAGAGAGGCAACTTGGCGCTCTGACTCGTCACAATACACAGTAATCAATCGACGAAAATGGTGGCTGCTACCCCACACATATTGTGCTACAGTCACCCTTTCTTGAGTAGCTGCTTCTGTCTATCGAGTGCCTGCTACTCGATGGCATCAAGGGACTGCCACAGAGACTGTTCGAAGCTTCTTTCCGTGTAAGGTAAAAGCACCAGTACGTGAACACTTCCTGAAATTGCATCAGTAGATTGAACAGCTTGAATTAATTATTTTCAATTTAAGTAGATAAAAAAAAAAAATTTTTCTGATATCCTTTGATCGTTCTTTAGATAAAACAAAATTTATATTTCAGTAAGTCTTTATACTCAACGAGAAAAAAATTATTTATTTGTGCAACTTGTATGAGGTGGCTTGTGAGACTGTTCAGGTACTGGTACCATTAGGTTTTACCTATACCCAGTACTCGAACACACAAAAATGATTGAAATCACTGTTAATCAATAATAATAGTATGTCAAGCCAGTCGTTATAGTTTTCATAATATGTTACCAATGAAATTAGAAAGAAATTTTTCGATTTGGTTATTTGCAATACATAATAAAAATAGAAATTAGTAGAAGGCAGCTAACATAACCTCTCTCCCATTTAATTAACATGGGATGTTCAAGTACTCGGTCAAAAATACGTATCGGTACCAATACCTGAACACGCTGTTCATCTACTGGGTCATTGGTAAAAAAACTTTAAAATTAATTTATTAATTGTACACATGACCTAGAAAAACTTTTTTGTTTTTTTTTTTAAAGGAAAAAATATAAACTTACTGGCGCAATGACTGTTTTGTTGTTATGCAATTCAGAAATTCAATAAAAATGAGAAAACAAAGACTTAATGGAAAAAGTGTTCACGTACTGGTGCTTTTACCTTATACCCTTGCCCCGTTTCACATCGCCCACGGCACCACAAACATCAATTTCCAGTAAAAAAAATCTTTATGCTTACTTGACTTACCAAGTTTTAATAGATCATCGGTGAGAACTTTAAACAGTATAGGAGAATATGATGTTAAATTTAACAAAAATGGTACAGTTGCTAGCACAGTTTTCTTCAAATCTTTGTTTACATTGGTAGTATGTTCAGTCAAACTCAACTGTAAGAAAAAACATATCTGTAATAAATTTTTGAATCCTTGATACATATTAACTCTGTGAAGAAATAGATAATAATTCTTTATTACCTTGAATAAGTCTAGTAACGAAATTCTAATAACTGAAAAATGATAACTTGCTAAATGATTAAGAATCCCAACAAGAGATCTTAATCTACCTTCATTTTTTTTATCCTCACACTCTACTGGCACTGACATTGTTGTGTAATCTTTCAAGCCCCATGAAAGAATTTTGGGTATGAAGACATTAGGAAAACAACTGCCAATGTGAGCAATAACCCAATCAAAATGAGGGCTATGCACTTTACTTATATTAAACATAGTTTTAACACAACATTTGGGGTTACTGTACATTTGACTTTGTAGACATTGGGCTGATAAGTCAACTAGAGTTCGGATTGCTTGACAAGACATCCAACATTGAAGATAATCTTGAAGTTTTAAATTAACTGATACATTTACATGTTTTGAATAATCTGAGCATAAGTTTCCTGCAAAGTAAGAGACAGCAATGTAATTTCGTAATTCTAATGCATTTTTATCAAACAACAATTACATGCCTCAATTTGGGTTAAAACTAATCATAAAGATTTTTCCAGTCTACTGCTATAGATTTCGACATATTTTGAAAATTATAAAAGTTGTTCTTAGAAAATTAATAGTTATTGATATGTTATTTTATAAATGTATATGACTAGTTGCACATACTATCTACGTTATATTATTGAATGCATTTGTAAAGTATTATCCTAAGATACAGCAGTTATCCCCATGTAGTCAATGACTAAGAAAAAACTGTTTGAATCGGTACATACTACCTTTAAAAAATCGAATTGTCAACAGCTTTGAATTGTAAAAAAACATTAAAACTTATATTTGATCAATGATTTTCATCTTACCAAGTAATTTAAGAGACCAATCTAAGATGATTGGAGCCCATGCTTCAGCATTTGATTTCACGAAACTTTCAAGAACTAGATATATTTCACGAATGATAGCTTCTTCTAAAGTAGGAGTGACAGAATGTTGCCTTATCTGTTTTAAAAGATAAAAAATAAGTAATAAATTATACATACTTAGCAAGCATAAGAGAATTAATTACTTCAATTTGTCGCAGGTGTTTATTTACAGCAACTGAAAATACAGAACAAAAGTGTTCAAGTACTGATTCTTTTAAAGCAGGGACATTTCTCATAAGCTTTAAGGCTGCTTGCGTTATCTCGTATGAATTTGACATTTGTGAATGTTTGGCACAGCCAGAAATAAACTTTTTTACTTCTACTGAGGCATCCAGTGCTGTTAGTGATAACTCCTCAGTAAGAATCATTTTCAAATTTTAATTATGAATTTAAGCTGCATAAAAGATTACACAGCTACGCAAATGTAGATTAGATACCTAATCGGAAATAATACGATATTTCAAAAACAACCATTTATTTACACTTTACGTTGGTCACGTAAGGCTGCAATCACATGCGGTGAAAGTGGACATCTCTATGGGAATTGGGAAATAGTCAGTGGAACCCTGGAACCGACGAATACAGACGCTTAATGGAAGCTCCGTGACCACAGCACCCAAACTAAGTAAAAAAATTATTTATTATAACTAAAAAATTGCGCGTAATTTCCTCGTCATTACCGTGAAAAAAAAAAAATTGCGCGTTATTTTTTGTGCAAGATGATAACAAAAACATCCGGCCCGGTTGATAGTAACTTATAAAAACTTGTAAAATCTGATAAAAGTTAGATTGGTTGTACCAGAAAAAAAATTTTTCTCATAAAATTTTTACCAGATTCTATTTTTATTTTTCTGCACCAAATATTTTTATTTGTCTGTAAGAGGATTTTCTTGCATAAAATGTTTTATTACGTGAGTGCATAATTTTAATGAGAATTAATGAGACTAAACTATATAAAAATACTTAAGATACCATCAGATAATTTTTTTATTAGTTTATATCAGGTTTAACCAACACAAATTGTATTTTTTTCAAATGGTATGATAACTGGTAAATGATTACCGATGTTTGTCAGAATAAACAAGGAATTGCCAGTAAAATTTTTATATCCAAACTGCTTTATTTGAAAGAATTTTTTATACACATAAATAAGTAAATACACGTAAAAGATTTTTTTTTTTTTATACCGGGTTACCACGACAGCCTACTTGGCCTAGTCGCGGGGACCACCCACTCACCAACTATGTGTGGGGGTGTGTTGCCACACCCATCTCTAAACCTTTTTCCTCGCATCCTACCTGAATCCATGGGTACAGTGTGAGTATCTCCAGTGGAACACCTTGCCAGTTAAGCTGACACTCTCTGCACCGATGGTGCATCGGGTCCACTCACCACTGTGTAGCCTTTCCCCGGAGAAGACTCCATTATTCCAGGACGTCCACTCCTCGCCGGTTAAGCTGGCGCTCTCTGCCGAAGCATCAGATCCAGGCTAATTAGCATCCCCGGAGAAGCCCCATGTTTCAGGGGCCACTCCTCGCCGGTAAGGCCGGCGATCCCTGCCCGACGCCTGGCATCGGGTCATCTAATCCCTACCTATAGCCCTAACACTGTTTCGCATTCACCCAGGCCCGAAAACCTGTGGGGCAAGGAAAAAACCCTGGAATTACTCTGAAGGAAAATTCCACGGAAAAACCCGCCCCGAAACAGCCGGGGTTACATAGGAACTTTTCCCGATGAAAACAGTTTTTGAAAAAATCTGCATTCACCGGGAGTCGAACCCACGACCCCTAGAACTGCGTTGTATCAGTAACAAGCACGGTTACCACTGAGCCAACGCCGCTCCTTCAATACGCGTAAAAAATTTTATTAGATGTTACTAGAGATCGTATTCATTTTAATTTTTTTAAGAAAGCTGTTTTCTTCAGTAATTCCTGGTGCAAAATTCTGGTAAATGTTAAGGTTTTAAAAAGACTTTATGAGACGTATCCCTTCTGTTTCAATGTCATAAAAATTGTTTCTCTTCAAAAAATATATAATCACGTAAAAAAGTCCATCATTTCTGAGTTCTTACGAGAGTTAATTATTGCGAAAAAATCGAATATACACTTTTATAGTCTACAGTATACAGTGCCACTCAAAGTTCTGTTGTTTTAATGAAAGAACTCTATCCCTTTTTTGTATTTGTTAATAAATACGCATACACAGAGACAGAAGATTGGACAGAAATATCGTAGCTTCAGGTAAATATTTAATAATCCGTCCGATATCTTCGATAAATGCAGATTCACGTATTCTTCTGACTCCAACATAAAAGTGGTTCTGTATACTTATTGTATACACATCAATACACACATTACCAGCTCAACAGTATCCCTCTACATAAGGTAAATGTCCCTATTCGTGGAATATGTCCCTATTCATGGAATATGAAAATTAATGTATTTGTTATGCAACTTACTTGATAAAAAAATTGTGGTGGTTGTATATTTTATTTATTTTTATGAATTCATAAGAAAAATTTCATCATCCATACAATAAATGACCAATTTTCAAGATTATTCCTTAAATAGGGACAAAGTCGAGCATAACCTAACTTTTGAACTGTACATATTATGGTACCAAACTTCAACGAGTAATTTATATAATTCTAGTGACCAAATAAACGTTGTAATTATTTCTGTTAAATACGACAGTGCTATGCACGTAAAAAAACTTGAATTGCCTAAAACTTATATTATCTTGTAAGTTACAACTGAGTAAATATCATAAAATCGATTTAATTTAAATTGATCAATAAATTCTAGTTCAACAAAATCGTTCTGGAAGGTTCTTAT